AATAAAGTGAGAGCTCGTCGTAGCGGCGTCGGCAGCCAAAATGAATAAAAAATGGAATATCGAAGAAGCGTAAAACCTTTCATAAAGAGTAACTGAAATATTCAGTCCTATTTCAGGATCATATCTGAAATTCAGATTAAACAAATACAATTTCAAAGAATGTAGGAACCATCGGAGCGGCTCTCGATATCGGGAATCCATCCCTCTATTTCCAGGTTCGTACCGAAATATTTCACTGATATTATATTTTAACACGAACCAATTTCAAATCTACCACAAATTTTTCCTATGCTTACAATATATTAAAGTTTATTTATAAAATTAGTATACTTAATATACTTTAACACTAATGCAAGTTAAGTCATGTAATTAATCTACATTAATAAACACAATTTTAATATTTTAAGTACAGAAAATAAAAAAAATTAGTTGTTATATGATGTTGAATATTAAATTTGAAATAAGTTAAGCCGGTGCTGATCCCTCCTATTTCTATTCCTCGGAGATCATTTATACAGTAAGAAACGGAAGTGGGCGCCCTTATTTGCCTATGGCAATCGACGTTTTCCTTTTTTTTTTCGCGATAAAATTCCTTCGGATTCAAAGGTGACATCCAATCAAGTCTATATAAAAAGCTAATGGGCTTTCGCGTTTTAGGCAAATCAAAAAAATATTATCGAGAACAATTACTTTGGTCCATTTGTATTCCAACATTTTGAGAAACGATGTTGACTCATTCGGAGCGAGGCGAAAAATTTTAATACACTCCGCCAGAAGGACGTAAAAGAAATTTTTTAATAAAAAAATCATATTGTGGATTTTCGATCATCTGATTTTTTCGGTTTATCCGAAAGTCGAAACTAATTTTGTATGTTCTTTAGAAAAAAAATTCCTTTTAATGACGGAACTTTCCCGGTTTCTGACTCAATTTCTTCCTCTTCTCTGCAACATATACAATGTAAGAAACGAACCTGAAGAAAATTACTTTCTTTCATTCACTCCGGTGTGATTAGGATTGAATGTACGGCAAAGAATGTATTATCCCACCCTCGCATGTCATTTTTAGTATTCTGAAATAAGTTACTAATTAATTTTGTTATAAAAAATAGCTTTCCCAGCTTTAATTAATAGTAATAATAATTTAAGGAAGTGCAAGAGTTACTTTTACTTTTAGGTTGTAAACTTTTAAAGTTCGTAAATAACGCGAATGGGATTTTTATTTCTTTTTTACCCCAACAATCTCATCATTTACTCGTTCGAACGCCACATAAGGGCGGTTCTTCGTGTTTTACGGTTTCTTCCCCTTTTTATTGAACTTTAATTGATTCCAATCCGTTTCTAATGAAAATCGCAGGAAATTACAGGAAAAGCTAATTTATTTTAAAAAAGTCGGGCAATTTTATAAAAACAATGCACAACAACAATAAACAATTAACATAATAAATAAAATTGTGATAATACAGGAATTTTCTTAGATGGATTAATGTTAATAATAAACATTATAAGGGCACGCCTCTGTGAATACACACTAGCCTGGCAATTTAATACGAAGTCGGTGAATCGTTTCTTTGATCAAATGCTATACAAAGTAGATGTTTGTGTACTAAAAAGATTGCCATTATTGAATCGTGCCTGGAGATATTTCGACGGATAAAAAAACTCAATTTTGGGACGAAGACGTATATTGTTTTACGGTTGAACTACAAGTTAAATAGTTGGAGAATAAAACCATAAATTCCCGTATTGATTCGATTTGCTCCTGCAACCTTGTCCTATTTAGAATATTCCAGTCATGCAGTTTCAAAAATATTATTACCGGTACAAATTTTCGTTCGCTCCTTTTCATAAACTCCTCTATTTATTTAGAAGGTACCGCAACGCCGGTAATAAAAAGCAATCCAATTTTATGGAGCTTAAATCATCCGAATCCTCTTAACAGGAGGGCACGCCTTTCCAGCAACCTTTAAAAACGCGATTAAGCGTTCCAAAAACTTTTTATGAGACCCTCACAGCACCCATTTCCGTTAAAAATGTTCTTTCCAGGATATTATTTATTTTCCTCTTTTTTTTTAGTTGTTGAGTCGATAAGTTAGGGCAGATTATAAATTTTAAATCGTTTCGACGCAGCTTAATGGAATATTGAAATATTATAAGTATATAGGGATTGTTAAAGGTACATAAATTTTTTCACTTTCATCTACACAAAATAGTGCATTGAAATATTACGGGAATATTTCCCCTACGTGGAGTTAACACTCTCTAAAATACATTTCCATCATCATATTCATTTCTTCAGTCGAGCGGAGTTGCTTGCAAAAAAGCGCCCGGAATTAAAACTTTACTACCTGAATAAATTGAAGATCGAGACAGCTTAAGTTTAATTTGATTTTTACAGTCCCCTTGAGACTCCTCGAGAGCATACGGGGGCAACGCCGGAGGAATATATCTTCGCATTATTACCTTATAAACAGATACTACCTCGAAAATTACTTTCACCCCTAACGTGCGTACATAAACGTAGACAAACAATTCGGGGCGATCCTCCACTTGATTAATTAAATTTAATTATGATTTGCTACGTAACGCATTCACAACGAATTTATTTTTATGTCCTAATAACTTCAAATATACGATTATCCGTCTTTTGATTATCCGAGCAATGTAATTTACCATCCACCCCACTGGTTTACACACACACTCACACATTCCTACTTATAATACAATCCTGTTTATATATTTGGACGATTATAAATTCACCATTATCCCGAGGTCCCGGAATTAGACGGGGAACTAGCTATAAGTTTCAGGGGAGTGAATTAACACTTAGAATGATATAAGAGATACAAACGGGCATAATCTTTGCAGGAATGGAAAGGGCGCTTTCCCACCGCTCCGAAGTGAGAAATGCATTCGGTATACACCGGAATGGGAAAGTGAAATTAAAGGAATATTTCTGCGGGTTTATTTTGCTTCTAATTGCTTATGCGTATACAATAAAAATATTTTTTATTACCTGTACTTACTGGTTAATGTAAGTTCTAATGTTTTGTTTATTAGCTGATTTAAATTGTCCTTTTATGACAACTTCTAGAATGTCATGTAATGTTATTTATAATGTTTATAATGTAATAAATATTACACCATTACCAACTAATTGGAATTTAATTAAACTTTAGCAAAGTTTACAGACAATATTTTTGTTGGAGCGTCCGCCTTTATGCCGGTTCGGTTATGCAACTGTCCCCGAGGCGTTATTCCTCGGTAACAACCCTCCCGAGTACGTGGAATAAGTTTTACAACACTTTCGCGAATTATTCGCTCTAGTCCAATTATTTGTTACAAAATATTTTTAAATTCACCGCCATCGAACGGAAAATGGGAGCCGCTAAACGACGCGTCGTATAACTTACGACTTTTTAAGACCGCTCTTAAGCATAATTTTTTCCCGATGGAAGTTCGCAGTCTCCATGAAATTGATACATTTATTTTCGATCTGAGTCACAGAATCGTTAGACTGTAAATTTTCATGGACGTCAACCCATCTCTCACACTTCATTTCATCCTGAGTTATAGTGTTAGCGTTGTTGCCTTTTCTTCCATAACTACCGTTTTTACACTAAACTTTAACCGATTAAATGCTCAAATGGTACTTAATTACAAGGGATAATCACAGGGTTTAATTAATAGAATTTACAGTGGTGTATCTATTGCACTAGAATGTTAATTTAATATTATTAGTAGTGTAAAATAAAGTGCATGTACGACTTATTTTTTTGTTTGAAAGTGTGGTGTATAATTTCGCCAAAGATTTCTACAAACTTTAAATTAGGTGCTCACTCATTTTCTTAAAGTTGTTAAAAGTGAGCGAAGAAAATAATAAATTTGAAAAACAGGAATTAAAAATATCCGGGCAAGTTTATAATCGAATTCATTAAGTGTCGAGAAAGAAAAGAAAAATAAAAAAATATAATTATGTTGATTAGAAGCTTTATTAAATCAAACAACGAAGACTTTTTGTTAAGGTAAGACTAAACTAAAGCGATGTTATGTTTTCATTATTATAATCGGATTAACTCCGGAGTATTCCGAGGAAAAAAGCGCGAAATTTTCCGGCGATAACGGCAACGCCGCCCGTGTTTTTCTAGAGATGCCGTCTTAATGCAGTTTTCGGGACCGTTGGAGCACAAAATATGAGTAGATTTTGAGAGTTTTACTATACTTGTGCCATCGCGACGTCATAATTCAACGATATGAATTTCAAAACGCCGCGATTTGCTCAAAACAACCAACACCAAGAGGATAAATCCAATTTGAATATATTTGAAGGTCATTAACTCGGCTTGTTGGCGCAGAACTTATTTCTTCTACTAAATTTTCTTATCCACCTACATTAAGACCCTTGAGGTAATGCTATTGAACCGAACAAATATCTTTAAAAAGATGTTCATGGTACTTTTTATGCAGATATGTATTTGTTAATATTCAACATCTATCTCAAACAACAACTTTAAAATTTAAAACTGCTAGATAAATTGCTGAAAACTCTTCGTGTGAGACCCTCTATAAGACTCACCTTCGCTCGAATAGATTTTACTTAACAATATTGGAAAAAAAATCCTCTTCCTCGAATTCTTCGCAACACAGTGTGTCCCCCATATTATAATGATCTATAAATATACATGGAGTATGCAAAACAATGCCGAATACCGTCACCGTTCGGTGTAGGTATATACAAGTCGCATTTCACAAGGTATTACGCCCGTTCCGTATCGTGAGAGCCTAGCGTATTAACCATGTGTATCCGCCTCCAGCAGCAGCCGAACACCGGGGGGTGCCGCACGCCGCGCCGTCAATCCGGACGCGCGCCGCCGCCGCCGCCGCCGCCGCTAAATCCTCCCGAGTCGCAACTATATCAAACGCTAATCCGCTTTGACCCCGAAGGGCTACGCCATTTCTCAGCCTTTTAACGTTTTCAGAAATAAAATAACTTTCCAAATTCACCGAAAGAACACTTCTGGGATGTTATTGTTTTTATTAAAAATTACTAGATAATATTAAAAACACATGTAATGAATCTTTTATTTATTAGCTGTCTTTTTTAGATCGTTTTGTAGTCACTTTCTTCTTGTTAACCGTGGGTGTGCTTTTATGCAATATACCAACAACCGCTCTTAATATTTTCTTCGCTATCCAAATTAAAATTGCACATACACTAACCACAATTCCGATTACCACACTTATGCTATCTAAACAATAATACTGATAAAATGGTATGTCAATCGCCGGGTGTCTTAGATGCTTGGCTCCCTTATGTCTAAGTACATATTCTATCCACCATACAGCTTTGTCTACTCCCTTCATCGGTTGATCAGTAATTAAATCTGCTATTTTGTTAACATTATCTATATACCTGCAATTAGAATTTATAGGCAAGAATCAAAGATTTCAATAGTACATACTTGGGATTAGTAATAACATCATTAATTACTTCCGTTAAGTATTCTTTGCTTGGTAGTGGTTTATGATGTACGATTCGAGCAACCCCTTTAAGTTCCATTTGCATGGCATTAGCTTTTTGATCAGTGTACCATCCAGGGATAATAAGCATAGGAACTCGACTGAGAATCGATTCTTCCAATGATTGAAGACCGCCTTGCATAATGAACAACTTAACGTTGGGATGTCCTTTAAAATTCGAACAAATTTAATAGGTCTCTTACACTATTGAATTAATAATTACTTAGAACGTCTTGTTGGGGTAGCCAAGGCATTAGTTTGACGTTTTTGGGTGGTTTGATCATATCAACGTTTTCGAATTTCCATAAAACTTTGTAAGGTAATTCCTTGAACGTGTCTAAAAAGAGTTGGATTTCTTCCGGTGGTAGGTAAGTACCTTTAGAATTGGTCCCTAAACTAAAATAAATGCAACCTTCCGTCGCGCTATCTAAGAATTTCTGCAAATCCTGAAACAAGAACAAGAACAATTTAGTGATTCATTATTTTAGCAATCGTTTCTACTCACTTTAGGTAAAGGCTTCGGAGGAAAATTATGTAAACCATCACCAATGTGCACAATATTAGGTCCTACAGAAGTAATTCCAGTTATGATAGGGCTCGAACTAATGAGAAGTAGATCAGTGTCCCTTAATATTTCAGTTGGCCTTCTAACGTTCGGTCCGAAGGCTTCCTTTAGTATCTCGTGTCGCAGAGGCAAATGCTCGACCCATTTGAATAGCAAGTAAAGAAGCGACATCATGAAACCCTTGAACCTGATGTAGAAGGTATTACCTACCTGTCCTGTTAGTATCGAAATTTCTATAGTTGGAATGGCAGGACTAGTGGGGTTACCTAAAATACTAATTATTTAATTCTATTTTTAAGAATATTGGTAGGTACTTACCTAATACACTGAGAACAAAATTCAATGGTTGGAATGATGAGACCAAAACCCTTGGGCACTTATACAAATCCGCGAAAGCTAGAAATTCGTAAGCTATCGATTCGGTTATCACTAGGTCGAATCCACTTTCGTTGTGAATTAAATTCCGGACTGGTTCGAGGGACAATTGATGCCTCATGGTATCATCGAAACTGCTCGTCATCAATTTGAACGCTTTAGATTCGGGCGATTTGTGTATCAGCTCGATGTAGTCCTCGACTATTTTGGAGGAACTGCCCGTGTCGATCTCTCGCAAATTCTTCAAGTCGGGATTGTTCATTGGATGAGTAGTGAGTAAAGTCACTTGATGTCCTCTATTCGCCAATGCAATCCACACATTTCGAAAGGCTAGCTGATGACTGTACGTAGCTGTAGGAACTATTGCCAAAATTTTTGAAGCTATATTCGGGGTTACAACTAATGCAAAAATAGCACACACGGAGATAAACTTGATACTCGACATATTTGAGCTAACTGCTAGACTAGATTGAAATACATCACGATTGTACGATTATTATGTATAGTTCCCTTCAGTGATTAAAGATAAAGTGGTTGGTACTTTAAAGATAATCATTTCTCGTATTAAATAAATATAAGATTCTATTTGTGTTATAAACTTCTATACAATACATTATACTTTATACATAATTACACATTATTTGACAATAATCGATTTGAAGTTACTCTCTTTTTTTCTTGCTAAATATTAACATCAAAAATAATTGGAATATAAAACTGCATATTTTTTTAAAAATCCAAATAGAGATAAAAACTAATATAATTATCACCGCTATGATATCCAAACAGTAAAATTGGTAAGCAGGCATGTCTATTGAAGGGATTCTTAAATGCTTCGCGCCCTTATGTCTAATTACGTATTCAATCCACCAAACTGCTTTATCTACAGCACTCATAGGTTGATCCAGAAGTAACTCAGCAGTTTTTACAACGTTTTCTTTATACCTAAAAGGAAATACGATGGGTAATTTATGAAACGTCTTGTATTAATTTGTAAAACTTACTTCGGATCGTTTATAACGTCTAATATTACGCTCTTAAACTCTTCTTTATCGGGTATTGGATGGTGGTGAATAATTCGAGCGAGTCCTCTGTGTTCCATTCTTCTCGAATTCACCACTTGATCAGGCATCCAGCCAGGCATGATTACCATAGGAACGTGGGTGAGAATTGATTCTTCCAACGATTGGAGACCCCCTTGCATAATGAACAACTTTATATTGGGATGTCCTGGTAATGGGAATATCGTAATCAACAGCTCATTAAATTTTCAAGTTTATTCTTACTCAGAACGTCTTGTTGCGGAATCCAAGACATGATTTTTACGTTTTTAGGTATTTGTAATATGTCTTGCCGTTCTAATTTCCACAAAACTTTATAAGGCAATTCGCTGAATGCTTCCATGATGACTTGGATTTCTTCATTTGGCAAATACATACTTTTAGCGTTAGTGCCTAAACTTAAGTATATAAATCCTTCTGTTGCGCTATCCAAGAATTCCTTTATTTCCTACAATGATTATTGTAAAACCTATGATTTTATCTTCATAAATACTAACTTTCGGTAGCGGTTTTGGGGGTGAGAGGTGCAATCCACCGCCTAGATGCACGATATTAGGTCCTAACGGCCTTATTTCATTTAGTATATGATTCGAAGTAATAATAAATAGGTCGGTATCTCTTAATATTTCCAAAGGGCTTCTAACGTTCGGCCCGAAATGTTTCTTTAACAAATCGTGCCGTTGTGGAAAGTGTACAAAATGCTTTATAGACGTATAAAGAACACTCATAACAAAACTTGAGAATCTGTTGGAAAAACTTGTATCTACTCCACCTATGAACCCTAGTTCGGTACTTGGATTTGCAGCTGGGCTGCTGGGGCTACCTATAATTATCATTGTAAAAGCTCTGATATTACAGACTATGTAATTCACTTACCCAAAAATTGGAAATGGAAATTGAAGGGTTGAAACGACGAAATCAAAATCTTCGGACATTTATACAAATCTGCGAAAGCTTGCATTTCAAAAAACAAACTTTCACATATCACAACGTCGTAATCGCTCTCGTTGCGGATTAAATTCACTACAGGATCGAGGGATAATTGTTGCTCCATGATTTCATCGAGGCTCCTTGCAATGAATCTAACAATTTGCGATTCCGGCAAATCACGCACTTTATCTAAATACTCATGCACTATTTCGTACGAACTGTTCGTGTTTATTTCGCGTAGAGTCTTTAAATTCGGGTCGTTGATCGGATTTGTTGTTAACAACGTTACTTGGTGACCTTTTTGCGCTAAACTTATCCATATCCTTTGAAAGGATATTTGGTGACTGTACGACGGCGTAGAAACTATAGCCAATATTTTAGATGCTGATATAGCTGGCACTAATGAAAGTATGATATAAAAGAATTTAATAGAAGACATAATTTGATCTCTAATTGCAATATAAGGAGGATATGAATACAATGCTTTTAGTTTTTTAATAGTCGTGTTATATATGTATTATCGATGGTTATCTATAAATAAGTCAGTTTTTAGTTATTGTGTTATCTATTAATTATAGGTACTTCAGAAGTAGTTATGTTTTAATTAGTTATTTAAAAACTCTATAAACTGCATATTACCGAAGCAAATTTCTAAGTACTTCTAATTAAATTTCAATGAGTTCTATCCGGTCCTATACAAAATTAGTTACCAACGTATAAAAAAGAGAAGAATTTTGAATAAATCTGAGAAAAATTAGAATGGAATCATTTGACGTAAAATTACATTTTTATCAGTATCAGATAAAATAGAAGATTTTACAGAAATATTTCATTAATTTTAATGAATTTGTATTATCTTGGATAACAACTAAAATTTCATAAACATGCAGTTGGTAGTTGGTATCTACTGAACAGCTGCGTTTTCAAGTAGTTACGAAATACGAGTACAAACCAGGTAGAGATTTTTAATCGTCTAACTTTTTTAAACGACTCGAATTATTGTAGCTCTGCCATATTTTTCGGTGAAGCATTTTAATTCGGCAGGCGAGGGTGGTATCACTTGAAATCCCCGGCGGCCATTTAAATAGCGAAAATGAAAAATGCTGGTATTTTTCATGTTTGTCAAAGTAATGTGTGACCAGTAAATTGAACGGCCAGCAGCCGAGAGAACTAGCACTGTTAGAGAAGACAAATATTTCAAACATTTCCGAAATTATCTCCATTTGAAATATCGGTTACCTGCATTAAAAATATAACATCGCAATATTTGATTTGTTAATGATTAAAATATCTACAGATGTTTTCGATGCAATCCGCAGCGTTTTGTGATCATTCGCTATGAATGAATCCACCATATGATGTCCATAAAACACATTCCCGTCGATAAATTTTCAAACCGACCGGATTTAACAAATATTTACTTGTGTGATTTATAACGCCGAAATTTCACCGTGTTATGGAAACAACAATTAACAAATAAATAATTGGACTGGCGTAATTGCAGCGTTACCTGCCTCCAAATAAATTTCGCTCGTTTCGCTTATTAACGTTTTTATTTTAAACGCGATTTCCATTCGACGATAACGTCACAAAAATTACCGCATTAAAAAAGAACAATCAGGGCGCCAGGTGCGTTTGTAATTCGAAAACAATCCCAGATCGACGATTTTTTATTGATAACTTACTCTTATAATTTCCTTATCTTATCACAGTCACCAAAAAAAGTGATTATAGTGATACCAATTAATTGAGTTAAATTAAAACGTTATTGTTACAAACAAATTTATATGAGATTTGAATTGGGATATTTCGATACGAGCTTCGCTCACTTGACGTATTAGCTGAAATTTCATTAGGCAAATTCCGATGCAAGGGAGAGAAAGAGCGGTCGGTCTCTCGAAACTCCGAGCATCTTAAAGGTCATCCAAAAGCCGAAATTAACCGCTTTCTGGTCTCCGTTTAATTAATTAGTAATTATTCTTGAAATTGAATTACCTACGAAATTACCAACTTATATTATCGCCAGGTGGGAGGTCGGGTTGTTCTAATTAATTTTAACCGAATTTACCGATATTTATCAATTAAAAACGATAAGCTTTGTGTATCTGGAGAGGATTTGTACATTACAAATTACACGTTATCAAAATACGTATCTACTGATTTCTAAAAACTTTGTTTCTATTAAAGAAGACTGGTACTTGGTACTTGGTAACCGTTTCATTTTGTTTGCATTTGTGGACCTATGTAGACTATGCTCATTTAGTTATAATTAAATTAAAAATAATTTCGAGCGTGTATAAAATTGGTAAACTACGACGGGACGTCAAATATCAAAACGTTTAGCATCGTAACTAAATTCGCGCCCTCATCCGGAGTTTAAGCGACTCGACATTATGCTCCATTTCACCCTTTCTGCCGGCGCCCTTGGAGATCTTTAATTTTTATTTGCATCCCGATTCCAATCTTCCGAAGCATATTTCTTCGAAGGGGACGCGCTCTTGCGTTCTTCCCCGTCGAATTCCTTCGATAATTTACGTTTCCGAGCGTCGATTTTGAAATTGTACTTTTAAACGTGCATTTGGAATCCAAAAAATGCGATCTGCTTTAGTGTACTAGTGGTCTATTTAAATGCAGATATAAAGCCAGCGTTGGGTGGCCCAATCTCGTCAAAAAAACTCATTTAATCTAGTGAATGGCTGCGAGGAAGTTAATCCGGCATCGATTCTGATAAGAAACCGATGGGAATAAACTTCGGATATAGCGATTGAATTTCCTACTACACCTATACCATTCCGAGTTTATTAAATTTACCTATACAATTTTTTCGCCGACTCAATTTAGGAATTTAATGAATAATTATCTGGAGCTTTCGGAGGAATTAAATTAACTACCTTATATTGATGCACATTGCGATCGTTAGGAACAATATTATCCTAGTGGATTTCCTTAAACGGACCTCTCTCGAAATGCAAAGAACAACTAAGATGTGGAAATTAGGGGGCAATTTACTTCTCTGTCGAGTGTTTGGAGAATGTAGGGGGCCCTCTAGAGAAATCAACTTAGGCCGTCTAATATTGTCAGAAGAGAGACCTTGTTAATTAGAATTTCTCCTCGATATGAATTTGATTATGAATCCGCGCAAATATCGACCCGTTAAGTAAGAATTAAGCAAGTTCAATGAACAAATTAATAGCAATTGCATGCATTTAGTTTTGTTTAAACTGCATGGAAATTTACCATTGAATAGATAAAATGTTGTGTAGATAAGAAATTAATATTTACTCTAACAAAAAGATTAAAGTTTTATAAATTTCTTCAAATAATTATCTTATTTTTTTAATTAATATCTATTAATTTATAAATATCTACTTTTCTAAATTTATTCATCTAAATTTATTCATAGCTAAGAGGATTACAGTTTTACTCAAAATCGAAAAATAACAAAGATTGAATTTAATTGTGCGTTATCTTCCTAAACAACGTCTAACTGCTTCATCCGAGCGCATAATCAACGGGCAGAAATTTAATTAAACTTCAAATATGGTTCCCGAGAGTAGATAGGTAAGGAAACGAAGGTCTATGGGTATATTGCTCGCCGTTTATTCACAATTTTAAACCGATTACGGAACGTTTTAGACCAAAAGTTTAAACTCCGATCTTGTCGGATACTGAGAAAATCATTTTCCTTTTTACGTTAAGTTTCGTTAAGTACTTTGGGGTAACCGCCACCGTTCAAATTAGTTTAGTTTTTAATTACTTGTATAAGAAGACAATTACTTAGGATTTTTAATTCGTTTTGAGGTATAATTGAGTTTCTAAACAAACCAAGCGAGTACTTTATCGAGTTTGTTCGAAAGAAAATTTTTAAAATGCCCAGTTTATTTAACTCAGATCGATAAAATTATTAATATAAATTCGATATCATATCAAATTGTAAATAAGATGAATGTAAATAAATTATTAAACTATTGTACTTCGTTTTGACTGTATTTTTTATAATCTATTATTGTGTTTATAATGTTATCAATTATTTACTGTGAACACCTGAAGCATCTTATATTTTATCTAAAAAATTCCATTCTTTGATATAAAATAAAATAACATTAAAAACACATAAAAATTATACACCCTTTTTGCTTTCCATACAGCATAATAATCTTCTGTTCTTTTAACTAATCAACAAATTCTTAAATTTTTATTATTTCTGATGAATTTTATCGCCCACTATCAGAGATTAGCACAAAAGTCGTTAATTTTAATCGTCAACAAAAAACATAAATTATTTAGATATTTTAAATTACCATTGATGGTCATAATTAGAGCGTTCGAAAATTAATCACTTCGTCAAATACGAATAAATCCCCGGTTTCTTCGAGGTTTACATTGAAATCGGAATTGATAAAATCTGAGCAGCGAAATTAGCAACAGGAAAATTTTCGCGAATTATAGAATTAATAATTCATGGAGCTCGAATAAATCATACATTCTCGGTGAATAAATCAAGCACTTTAACGAAATTAAACTGGTGCCATTACCAGATAAGGATTGTTTCAGATTATTCTAATACAGCGGAATTCGAATGAAAAGGGGGTTATAAATTTGTATTTCTTATCGGGGCATTGGAAAGTTAGTAAGCGGGCCGCAGCATATCAATTGAAATTAATAATAATTATGTCACATATAAATTTTTACTTATTATAAATATTATTGTAGATGTTTATGCGTTACCTGCACTATTTTTTATAACGCATACATTTGTGTTATATTTATAATAATTAATAATTAAATATTTATTCAATACTGTTGCAATATTTATTGTTGTATCAATCAGTGAAAAATTTAATGATTTTTAAATTAATCATGCATGCTCACGGACTAAAATTTATATTTCTTATCGGGACCACGTTAATTTCGAGGAGTCCGTGTTCTCGTTCGCGTTTTCATCTTTCACAGATTTGACGTTAAAGACTTATTTATTACAGCCGGAGCCACTTTTTGAGGGGCTTTTTCAACTTTTTAATTAACTTTTTAATCATGAAAAATCGAGCAATAAAAACGTATTACCTTAAGAGGTGAGAAAAGTGCGCCGGGTGCACGGCTCCGGTATCGATAATATAATTGCATTTTCCAGTAAGAAAAAATAATAACGCGCTGATGAAAGGAGGAAATGGACTGGAATTGAGGAGTTTAAAAAGTTTCAGATTTTCTCTCTTTTGCAACATCGTAATTATTTAGAAAAAAATATCGAACGATGTATTTAAAATCGTTGAGAATATTTATTAACTGAATTATCTTTTCGTTGGTTCTCTGTTTCATCAATGGGAGTAATGAGGTGATTATTTTCTGACGAATTATACAGGGTGTTGACTAAAGAGATTTCTACCACAGATTATTTTTATTCGCATAATAAAAATCAGTCAAACCTCGAGAAACATTTCGCACACACCCTATATAGAAA